AAATAAAAAAAAAAAAAAAAAAAAAAAAAAAAAGATTACAAAACTAACTTTCTTTCTTAACGACGATTACTTGGATATTTACTATTATATATGTACGTATAAAAATTATAATAATAATAATAAACAAAGAAAATCAAAAGTATATGGAGTCTAACGAAAAACGTTCACTAACACGTATCAGTATTCAACGAAAGTTAAAGGGATTTAACGAAAAAAAATATGTATAAAAAAAACAATGTAAAAAAAAACGACATAAAAAACGATGTAAACTCCTAAAAAAACTTACGTATATAAAAAAATGTGGGATTTAGCACAATTCTCGCTGAAATAGATGTGTATAAATATATGTACGCAATTATATATAAATATATAGATACAAGCGAAAATTTGGAACTATATATTGTAAAATATAAAATACTGTCAACTTTGTATATATACGAAATGAATTTATAAAAACAAAAGCGAGAAATAATCTTTTTTTCGTTTTTTTTCTACTGACTAAAGTATTGCCACATGTTTTTTTTAACTACCGTTTTGTAATCCTTCGCTAAAACATTAAATAACTCAATACTCTAACAAATGAAAAATTTCCGCCAGAAAAGTTAAAAACGTATTTGATTCGTTTAGATCAAGATATAGAAGTAACAATAAAATATTACTGTATCGATATGATAAAAAGAAACATGCTTTTTAGGAATTGAAAGACATTACATATTAATCGGTGGGATGACTCGTTTGCATCCTTATATACATGTCTCACATTCGCACAAATTCTATATTCTTGTAAATTGCGTTCAACAATTTTTAGGTTGAATGACTGAAAATAAATTTATAAATTAGATCGAATTATTTGGAAAAGAGTAATATCTCTTTTTTTTCTCTTGACAATAAGCTTAGCTTGATAATAAGTAGCTTCTTTGTGTTTTATACCAAGCCTTCATAAAAATATGTTTTGTTTCTCATACATACAGTAGTATGGCAAGACTCTTATATCAAGTATTCTAATCTAACGCTCCTAGAGAAAATTATAGTTTCCCTTTCCTCTGTGTGCATGGAAACGCTCTCTATGTCTTTCTCTACTTTTTTTTTTCTCTTTTTGATCATGTACATACACATATGGCACACTTTTTAGAGACAAGATCTATGGGTACGCATCTCAAAAACAATACCCGACATACAGGTAATAAAAACTGTGTTGAAAAATTTACGCAACTGTCACAGCTTTTGCACTATTGTACTAGGACATAGAGAGTCAGCAGAATCACGAATGATCGTTCATTATTGTAGAAAACTCACTAGCAAAGCCAAAATTAAGAAAAGCGGTCGAATCAACTCTCACTGGCTAAGTGTACTTGTACAATTTGTCAGTTTTGTTACCTCTTAATTGAGGTCTTCCCCTGCTCTCAGAAATCTTTAACGTGTCCCAAAAAACTGAGGTCATGCGTTTGATAGTGGCTGGACGTAGCAAGTGGCGTGACACTCGATTGATGCGCCACATTAACGGCCGACAAATGATGATGATGCAACGAATGATGAGAAGTATGTGAATGAAGAATATTATTAGGATGGGGAACTTGAAAGTTCCCTGGTGGCGGGGCTCAGGACAGGAGTGGTCCTGGATGTCCACCAGAAAGAACAGATGATGCTGTAACAGCCGTTGTCTGCATATTCGAAACATTATTTTGTTGCTGATTTTGCTGCGTACCTAGAGGCAGGAAGATTTCATTACATTAACAGAAATATCTTACTTTTGTTTGCTGTTATACAGATAAAATGAAATATCTATCCTTACTAGCATTTTGACTGAGCTCGGCTTTCACCCTTCTTGCAATGTGACTTCTGGTGTGCTTTCTTAAATGATCTTTACGATAAAATCCTTTTCCACACTCTGTGCATACATGTCGCTTCTCGCCAGAATGTATAACAAAATGTAATGTTAACTGCTCTTTTCTTTTGAAAGCTTTCAAACAAACAGTACAAACGTACGGACGTTCAGGGTTGTGACTTTGTTTGTGACGTGTAAGGTGATCCTTTCTTTTCAGGCCTGCTCCACAAATATCGCAGACGAATCTTCGTTCCAAAGTATGTCCAAGAAGATGTTGCTCCAATAATTCACGTTCTGGGTATGCCATATGACATTCTGGACAGCAATATAACGTAGAGCCATCTAAAGCTGTTGTTAGGCGAATTTCACCAGGTTTCGGACGTGGCTTTTTCTCCTTAGGAGCCTTCTTCTTTTTCTTTTTCTTATTGTTTGGAGACATCATTATATTAGGCGTTGTTGTAGTTGCTACAGCTACTGAAGTGGTCTGTGCCATCTCCGATTCTTTTTTAATACTTTCTGCAGAATATTTTAAGAAATGATGTAAACTTAATGGTAAAGTACTAGCTGGTAAATGACTGAGGTAATCTGCCACTGTGGATCCAGGAGTAGCCAAAGATTGCCACGTAGCAGGCATAGTTGCAGGAGTTTGAGTATGAGCATGCTGCTGATGATGTTGATGCATCGTGTAATCTTGCTGACTACCATTTGTTGTTGTTTCTCCATTGCGCTGTTGCTCGTCTGTTTTCTTTTCCTTATTTTTATCTTTATCCTGTAGGAGATTGCAAACATCTTGTTGATTTATAGTTTCGGTCGCTTGCTGAAAAGTTTTAATTCTCTATGAAATATACTTCTACATTATCTTACGCTTTTAGATTTTAGCATTGAAAGACAAAGCAGCTGACCTGGTGATAAGAACGCTTTTCTGGCATTCCAGGCGAATTAGAGGGTCGTTGTTGGACTGGTTGAGCTTGGGAATATGGCACATTCGGGTAATGATGAACATTGCTGTTGGGATAACTTGTCTTATTGTTCATCATCACTTGTGACTGAGCAGATTGCACGCCGTTGCTTTCAGGACGGTACTTTCCCATAACCGGCACTCCAATTGGAGGCTGGTTGGGAAAATGATTGGCGTAACGTCCGCCCGCACCGCCGGAGCCGTCGGTTGCGAACTGATGAATACTCGGAATAGTACCGGGAAAATGGCTTCCGAACGGCGGGAAATTCATTGCAAACCGTCAATCAAATACCTGGAACATCATTAAAACATTAGAATACGATACGACCACGTTTATCAACACTTACACATACTACGAGTTACAGAGTGATCTCGCGGAAGGAAAGATGTTTCGATCAGCCAACATCTTTCAACATCTTTCCAAAATTCACGAGCACGACGCGTTGTCGCC